CACGCACACAGAGGGTGGTGAGTCTGGAACAGGCTGCCAGAGCGAGCAGTGGAGGGGAGTAGTTTTGCTATTGAGGAAACATTTGGACGGGTACGTGGATGGGATGGGAACGGGGTGGGATATAGGCAAAACGCAGGCAAAAGGGACTAGTTTAATTGTAAAAGCTGGGCAGCATGGGCAGGTGAGGCCGAATGGCCTGTTTCCATGCTGTAGACCTTTTTATCGCTGTGTGGAACCACCAAGAATAATAAAACGCTGGTGGGAGTTGTGTGTGTACAGGCCTCCATGCAGTAGTCAGGATGTGGCTTAGAGAATAAACCCACAGGTTGAAGAGGGTGTAATAAAGGCAGTGTTACAGGGAAACTTCAACAGGCGGGCGGACTGGGAAAATCAGATTGGTAGCTGATCCCGAGAAAAGGAGTATGTGGAATGTCTCTCCCAGCTGTTTGTTTTTTCCTTCTGGAGCAGCTTGTGGTGGAGTCCACTTGGGAGCGGGCAGTTCTGCATTTGGTGATGAGGCAGGCTGAATGAGGGAGCTGAAGGTGAAGGAACAGGGAACAGTGACCATAATATCATGGGATTCGCCATGCAGCTTGAGGGGGAGCAGCTGGAATCGGAATATAATGGCGTCACAGTAGAGTAAAGAGCAAAGACACGAGGGAGGAGCGGCCAGAGCTGATGAGGAAGGGAAGCCTGTGGAGCGGCAGATGTTCCTGTGGGTAAATCGGGAGGCACGGCAGAAATCCATCGTCAGAGAAGGAAGACACACATTTAGGTGAGGGCTGATGAGGGAAGTCCGACAACCAGTCAGTGGTGTGAAGATCAGCCGGAAGAATGAGATAAGGAGATAACGAGAAAAGCAACAAGGGGAGAGACGTTGAAATGGGAGAGGAAGCTAGCCAGTTGGAAGAGTCTTCCTCAGATATCTGAACGGTGAAAGAGAGGTGAGAGTCAATGTGGGGGACAGCTGGAGGCGTAGCAATGGGGAGCAAACAAATGGCAGAGGAACCAAACAGGGATTTTGTGAAGACTTACGCAGCGGAAGACGCCAGGACGTCGGAACTACAAGTGGGAGAAGGTAGTGGGGGCGTGCTGAAAGTTGGAGAAATCACCCAGACCAGATGGGCTACGCCTCTCAATCCCGAAAGAGGTAGGCGAGGAGGGTGTGTGGGGGCAATGGAGGAGATCTTTGGGGAAACACGGGAATTATTCATGCTGTGAGCTAACTGCTCCACTGGCCCCAAGAGAGCCGCGGTACCCTCGACGGGGAGCCAAGTCCCCTATTGCTGCCAGACAAAACCCCCGCGTGTTTCTCAAAGCTGTGCTCTGAAAGACATTTTCCTCCCTGTTTTTGCCTGGGAAAGGGGGTATTTCACAGCCGTTTTTATACACAGCTTGCCTAACAGTTCCTGCTCTCTGACCCGCTGCAGGCTCACGTACAGTCAGGATTGGCAGCTCCCCACCACCATCCCGGTGCCTCTCACCCTCCCCAGGTAATGCTACTGCCTGCACCCCAGACCCACGGGCACGGAGGGCCCGCACAGCAGGGAGTCACTCACAGCGGGGTGCCGACCATGTCTGCCTCAGCTGCCACACACTACACCTACATCGGGCACCACCAAGGTATGTCCAGGCGCTGTCCGAGGGAGCGCCGCGCTGTCGGAGGGTCAATGCCGAGG